CTGCCCTTTCCCCATGCAAAGGAATTTACACTGATGTTATCAAGAGTTTGGAAAACGGAATGTAACCAGCTGAGGTAAGGCCTGGAGGTAAGAACAGGGGAAAAATCACACTTGCTGCTGTGGTTTATCCCCAGCCACAAACTCAGTACCACACAGCCACTCACTCAGCACGACCCTGCCCTACTCCCATGGAGAGAAGTGGAAATAATAAACCTCACGTGTTCAGATAAGAACAGTTTAATAATTGAAACAAAATAAAATATAATACTACTACTAAGAATAACAATAATAATTGTGATGAAAGGGAGAGATGGAGAGGAATAAAACCCAAGAGAAACAGTTGATGTACACTACAGTTGCTCACCAACCACTGATCAATATCCATATCCATTTTTTATACTAGAAAGACCCCGTCACCAAACAAACAAACAAACAAACCAAACAACAACAAAAAAGCCAAAACAAAAAAACAACCAAACAAAACACCACAAACTAAACAAAAAAACCCAAACCTGACACAACCCTTTATAAAATCTTATTCCTCTTTGAAACCACTGTACTTCAGTTATGCCTCCCCAAAAATGAAACAGAAAAAGTAACAACAAAAAAACCCCAACCACCAACTCTAACATAACCCTTTGAAAAATCTTATTCCTCCTTGAAACCACTGTACTAATGCCTGACTGGCAGGAGACTTAGTGGATCTGGATCTGTAGGCAAAAGTACCTTCACTCTTGCTTCTCCCACCACATGTTGATATCGGCTTTGGCCATATCAAACCACAGAGCAAACAGAAGCCTTCTGACAACCTCCACCACTCATAGGAAACAGCAGTGATACACCTCCAAAGCTACGTGTTAACGCGACCAGCTATCCACAGCCACTCTGGAAAGAGCCAAGACGTTCCTCTTTCCGTCCTCCTCTAGCTCACAGTTGCCTCTCTTGCGGTCCATTGGTCAAAGAAGTGAATGTTACTCTGTGTCTCTGCAGTGTGGCTTAGCTAAAGGTCTCAAAATGGAGGTGTGAAAGGACAGGAACTTTTCTGTAAGGTTTCCGCTGCACAACAAGAGCTCTCACTTTTTGCAGCTTGAAATAAACCCTACTCACAGCACAGAAGCAAGTGCAACCACAGTGGGTTTGAGCAGGAAAAGCCTTCAAGGGGGGCTAGTAAAGGAGGTGGTTCTCTGTCACCAGAAAAAGTACTGACACTCAGTTCTTCCACTCACACTCAGGCCCTCCATGACACCCACAAAAGTGAACCCAAGAACTGACCACTGAATGACAATCTATAAACTCTGGGAAAGAGGGCAGACAACAGCCACTTTCTTCTCTGCCTTGACACAGAAGGCACCAGCAATGAAGCTCCACACTGCAGCTGTCCTCGTCATCCTCTGCCTTGGCATCTTCACTGTGCTCACAGTGAAAGGTAAGTTTGCAACCCCACAGGGCGACAGGCATTGCACCACATTCCACCAGTGGTCTGATGAGCAGGATTCATTCTCAGACACAGCTGATTTATAAGACACAACATGTAGGAAATCCAGATCAGAACCACAAGAAAGGCAGCTTTATGGGAGATTTCATCTGATGTCCTGACAATTAGTGGTTGGCTTCTGCTTTATGGCAAGGAGACTTTCAGTGCCTTAGAGCACTGAAAGGGTTTCTGTGCATGATTCTCTCTCTTAAAATCATGAAATCTTGAAGATACGATGTCTTTTAATCTCACTGATGCCATATAGCAATGAATAGGTTAATGCTATAGGTTAATAATATTTTATGAAAATTATTTATTGAATTAGATTCACATTTTTTCTTTTTTCAGATGTACTACTTTTATATGAATGTTATTGTATTATTTGTTAGTTATGTTTCTCTAACTATATAGCCTGAATTCCTCTAATTATAATTCCCTATTTTAAAAAGTTCTCCCAGTTCTGGGTCACCCATTGCCTATTTGCTTGTGTCTATTTGCCTATTTGTCTAGACAAATCTTTGGTACAGACAGGCAAACCATGAACAAAAACTGAAAAGGGCAGTAATGGATTTATAGAATATCTTCTCTCTCTTCACAGAATCATACAACTTAACATCTTATGTGAGACCGTTTATGAGCACTAAAATGAGCCATGTTTATTAGCCATGCCTTAAATCAGTCTGTCTACAGTGGTGTTTAGGTCAGATCATGGAGAGATCGTGGATCTTCCATGCGAGATCATGGAAAACATGGAGATACGTCCTTTAGATAATACATCATATCATAATCAGATTCACACAAACAAGCATATTAAAAAAACCCAAACACTCATGCAAGCCGTATGCAAACCCATAAACATGCAGAGAGAAACACAGGGAAAAGGTATCTTCACAAAACCACATTAAAACCAAACTGACACCTGCTAAGCATTCACAATATTAGGAAGCCACACGCTGAGGATGTGGACCCAGTGCTGCTATAGCTGGATCATACACGTTCTCATGTTGATTAATGATACCGCTCTTCATCTTGGCAACACGTGTGTTTGCATCACAGGCTGACGGCTCCCAATGTCATTCTCCAGGTTGTAGAATTTGGCATAAACATCACCAAGGCTGAAAGAGCACACTGAGCTGGTCTACAAGCAATAGAAAAAGAACTGGAAAGAACGATAAAGAAAAAAAAGACACTTGAAAAAGCATAGCTTTTCAGGTGCAGAGCAGTTGGGGTTTGTTCCCAGGCTTAGAGAAGCTCTGCTCTACTGGTATTCCCTGCAGCCATTCCCTGAAAATAGCGTGCTAGCAGAGAAAATATTTCCAGGACGAGTAAGGACGGCTGGAATATCTTTGAGCTCTCTTGATGCCACATTTTGAAAACCAGTCTGAGACAGTAAGGTATTTGTAGAGAAGTATAAAAAGAAATGCATAGTGCTACTTATGACTAAAACAAGATCAGAAGAGGTATTCCTTCAGGCAAACAAACCCTCAAGAATTAGCAACTCTGCCAGTACCTGTGCACTGGCTATGCTACAGCTTCTCCAAAGGCTGATGTGTCTTTATCTCAGCTATTCTAATCACAGATAATGATATTATTTGAAGCAGGTTTTATATTTAGCAAGGTGCACCTGAACAGCTCTTGGACTTTATTCAAGCCAGGGTCTCAATATATTCTTTAACAAGAAATCTCAGAGTGCTGCAGTGTTATGCTTATACCCCTCATGCCTTCCCAAAATGTCTTTCATGAGTAGGAGAAAACCAGAAATTAGTAAGTGGAGACTTACATACATGTGTCCATATACTCCATCTCATTTAAATGAACTTCCATTTTGAGTTACCATCCTTTAAGATCACACCTACTCAGAAAATTTTACACTAATATCATGATTCTCTTTATTAATCATCAGTCCATTTCCCTCAATTGTATGAAAATCTTGGAGGAAAGCAAGGATTAAGTAGCACTCCATTGACTATGAAACCAGACTTATAGCAAGGTATGTAGGTACTTGGTCTTCTGGCAGATATACCTCCCTTTCTTTAAACAGTTTTTTTCAATTCTGCTTTCACATGTCAACTGTGAGACAAGTAGCCTTGCTTTCCTCTTTTTTTTTTCACTTGGCAAGTAGGGGGAGTTACTGATCCACATTCAGATGCCATATGGAAATCCACACAGTAAATGTGCTGGTTCTAAGCACTACTCCATATGGACACTTATTTGCAGATGACACAAACCCAAATATGAATGATACCAAATACCTTTTCTGCTATGGAAGCAGTCACTCCCTAGGGGCAGAATTATTACACAATTGTTCAGGTTAACAGGTGAAGATTAGTATCTTGACTGAAAGGACAATAACACTTTATAGATGGCAGGATGCATCACAAAAAATAGCTTAAGCTCTCTTGTATAAGTGGTATTGTGGCTGTAAATCATGAGACTCTCATGTTCTAACTACAACTGGACACCTTCTCGATTTCACAATTCATTAAGTAATTATGGCTAAATATAAATATAGTATTTATTCCCTTTTCATTTATACATTTTTTCCCTTCTAGGAAGTGCTGGAAGTCAGTCCATGCGCAAATTCAATTGTGTAAAGCTGCGTACAAAACAACTGAACATCCAAAATTTTGCAAAGTATGAAAAGCACCATATGCCAATAAGTGCCATTGTGTAAGTACCTAATGCACTGTTCACCTTCAGACTTGCCTATACAAACATGTTACCAACGAAAAGGGAAGGGGAATCACAAGACACTTCGTGGTCCAACTCACCAAATCTGCCAAGTTCAGGTCATCCTTCCAGTTCTCCCATGAAGGAGTCACCTGACAGCTGAGGGAATGAGGGGAGACTAGTGGCCTCAGAGAGCTGGGAGATGTCTACTGTCCATGAATATGGGCAGAAAGCTCACTGAACAGTCAGATCTTTGGTGATCAGCAAGTCTCAGCAAGGGGTAGAGCAGTCAGAAATCCAGTGCACTGAATTGAGCCATGGGGAAAAGATTGTGTGAAAGAATATGGCCTGACTCCTGCTAGGAGCTGTGTTTGGTCTTTTGAGCTCACTAGCATGCATTTTTATCAAATCTGGGATCTGCTCCTGGGACGTTAATGTTCATCATGATTTCATCTAAAATCTCAGAACAGTAGGGATGCTCCTTCTTTTAATATCAGTATATATGCACATGACCATGTATGTTCCACATATACCCACGCCATGAATAGGGAACTAACATTGCTTGCTTCTGTTACTCCAGCTAACATCTACAAACTCCACCATTTGAAAGTGTTTAACCACATTTTTCCCCGTGTTCTGCATGAAAACCAAGAACAGCAAATCTGGATTTAGAGACTGGAATTTAATGGCCGCCTGTTTGCTTTCTTTCTTCCTATAGGTTTATCAATAGAAACGGTGTCAGAATCTGCGTAAGTGCTGATCAGAAATGGGTGCAGACTGCTATGAAGAAAATAGACCAAAGGTCGGCATCATCAAGGAATGGTATTTCCCAATTTAGTGTTACCAGTGAAACACCGCAGATCAGGCGTCATTCACCAACTCCTCCTCCCCCTACTCCTTCGGTGGGATGGAGAAGAGAACTGGAGACACAAAAGGTAAAGATCACGGGTTGAAATAAGAACGGTTTACTAGAAACAGCAATGAAATAAGAAAACAACCAGTTACAACAATTATGTTAATAACAGAGTGCATGAGACAGGTGAACACTTCCAAGTAAAATTGCTCACCACACAGAACCTGGCACCAGACACCCACACAGAACCTGTGCACCAGCCAAACCAGAGTCTTGGAAAGGTTCCAGTCTGCCATGCTCTGGTCTTTGTTATTGCTTTATAGAACAATACATCTAATTAAAAATATCCTAAGTACTACCCAAGTAGTTCGAACAGTATAAAGCAACACTTGATTACCTACTGTTTAGTGTATTCTTTAAACACACATCAAGTCTCAGTCACCTCCAGAAAAGAGCTGCTGACAGACCTCTAATCCATAATACAAGAACCTACTGCAGTCTATCCATATACTAGATTTAGGTACTTTTTCATATAATTTTGTATCTACATCCATATCAAAGAACAAAATTATTTCCTAAATTGAAAAAAGTATGATGAACAAACAGATGTGTAACAATAGGAAGAAAGTTAAAAGTTAGTTTGACTGCATGAGACTGAAAATGGAGTTGATATTGTTCCGTGCTTTGGTTCATTTCTTTCATTTTTGATTCTCAGGTGGCAAGCCGAAAGGAAATCCATGACTTAAAAGAAGCTTCCAGTGTTAATGAAACTTCACAGTCTGACCATCCACAAGACTCCCAGACAGTTGCACTCCCAGCACTGAAGACATTAACTAATGGGACCAAAGCCCCTTCACGGCAGCTCCAGTGAGCCAACGGGTGCCCCTCTTGACTCTCTGCACATCCCACCCACACCCACTCAGACCAGGTTTTTCTTTAATGGTTCAATCCCAGGTTTCCCACAGCAGTGTCAGATACCTTGTTCCATAAAGCAATTTATTCACAGCGCAGTAACACGGCAACAGCCCGAGCTGCCGCCTCCTAGGAGGAACCCCCTAACAAAGGACCCTCTGGTCTTTTACACCCTTGCAGTCTATACCGAGGTGGTAGTGGATCAAGGGTTGGACTTGATGATCTCAGAGATCCCTTCCAACCCAGCTGATTCTATGATTCTGTGAGGTGGAAATACTGATGAGACATTATGCAATCCAAGATTTGACACCACAATGGAATATGGAATGTTATATAATGTCCCACGATAAGGGGGCAGCTCTTTTCTAATAGTTTTGCTGCTGTTTCAACTGAATTATTACAGGCTGGTGCTCCTGCTGCAACTGGATCTAGCTCAACTGAATAATATGCAATTGGCTTCTGATGGGGTCCTAAATTCTGCATTACTGCTCCACGAGCTATTCCTTTACATTTATGTACATACAGATTAAAGGATCTGGGAGCTCAAGAGCAGGAGCAGCAGACACTAAAGCTCCTTTTATACCTTTAAAGCTTGATCTCTCATATCTAGTCGGTTTAGGGGTTTTTGTTTGGTTGGGGGTTTTTTTGGGTTTTGCGGGGTTTTTTTCATTCGTTTTTTTGATTACTGGATGTGGGAACTTAATTATGACCTCTATTCTCTCCAGATCTGTTGCCATTTTCCTAAAATAAAGCCTAAATACTTAACTTTCTTTTCACCCAGCTGAATTTTGGATGGAGATGCACAGTGTCCCCTTTTCACTGGGGCAATACATAAATGTGTAGTGTCTAATATGCAAGCATTCTCATCACTACTTGCTAATAACAAATCATCCACATACTGTACAAGAAGCAATTCTCACAGTAATTTCAGACCCTTTAAATCAACCCCAATATTCTTGAAAAAACGGTAGGGAATCTGGCAAAACCTTAGGGAAATGTGTACCAGTCAGCTGCTGTCTTTTTCAAGTTAAGGCAAACAAAAGCTGACTTTCCTCATCTAATGGAATGCTTCAAAATCCCTTGGGCTAGGTATCAGTCTGTATCCTTCTGAATACTCTTCTTGGCTTCCAGGGGAATAGGGTCCTGTCTCACAATGGGTAGCACTTTATTTGCTTCTGATACTCTTCTTGCCTTCCTGGGGAATAGAGTCCTGTCTTCCTGGTGGGTGGCACTCCTCCCTTTGGGGACCGACAGTCCCATGTCTGTCTTGGTCCCTGCCACACTGGCATGTGCTTCTTAAAATATCTCTTAATTTCGGGGGCTGCCTGGTCTACAAAGACACTGCAAGTGTGCCACTGAAGATTTGTGACAGCCACTGTCCTGCTGAGCTAGCAGACCAAGGTATAGCTGGCCAATCCTGCTGGCACAACATCACTTCATGCACTTCGCAAAATCCTACTGTACTAAACAATTTATCCCAATTTTGCACAACCTTGGCCAAGGGTATCCCCTTATCTATGCTGGGCTTATTTCCCTTCGTTTCAAACACTAAGAGGGACTTGAAAACCCTTTTCACCTGATTAAAAAAAAAAAAAAAAAGAAAAAAAAGAAAAATGGTCTTCAATCTCCCTTCTGTGTGCCTCAAGGGACTCTACCACTCCCTGCACAGTACGAGGTACACAAGCCTCTCCCGGCATGGGTCTCCCAAACCCATCTGTGTTATACGAAAGACACGAGCCCCCCCCACCTCACGGGGGCTCCACATCTCCTCTACGTGTGCCTTCCACTGACCAGGCTGCGCATCCGTTCTTGACCGATAATTTCACCAAATCTTCACAAAATGCCACACCAACGGAGAGACTCATATGCACCCTTACAATTTATACAGAATCTGCTCAGGGAATTTTAACACTCACCTTTTGGCTTCTCCCTGCTCCAAAGGTCCCAAGCAAACTCACCCAGTGCCGTCCATAGGATGTCTGGAGAAGAGAGACTCTGAAGGTAGTGGCCTTGCGTCTCAACTGGGTCACTGAGACGTTGAGGAAACTTCCCAGTCCGACCATTCACAAAAATCTCTGGCAGTCACACTCTCAACGCCAGGGTCACACCCCTCAACGCCAGAGACTTTCACTGTTGGGACCGAAACCCCTTCCCTGGAGCAGCCAGCTCCAGTGATCCGACGGGTCCCCGTTTGACTCCCTGCACACCCCACTCACAGGCAGTCAGACCAAATTTCCTTAGCGCCTCTACCCCGGATTCCCCATCAAGGTCTCATTCCATAAAGCAATTTATTCACGGCACAGTAACACAGAGCGAGCCCGAGCTGCCGCCTCCGAGGAGGAACCCCCCAACAAAGGACCCTCTGGGCTTTTACACCCTTACAGTCTGTACCCGCGAGCACGGCTCTCTCTTCCTCCTGAGTCTTCGGCTCCGGCTGTCTCCCAGAGTTCATCCACCTCGCTGGCACCACCGGTCTTCGTGCCTATTGTTATGCAAAGTCGGCAGTTCACAGCCTCTTGTCTCTCCGGGCTCCCACCCAGAGCTACCTGCACCAGATGTATTCCTCAACAATATATCCCACCTAAGTTCACTTACTTAGTGTCCAGCATAATATACATGCACAGATTGCTTCTATAAGTAATAGAGACAGATATTTATCTTCTGGGGGAGACAACTTCCACCCTAAAACAGTTATCTGTGATACAGATGTGTGTAAGCAGAGGTTCTTAAGTTCCCTCTTAAAGTCTCTGAATGCCCTGATTCAGTCTTCAAGAGTGATAAGTGACCTGATGGCACATCTTCAAGGAGCTGCTGAACACTCACTAAAGACGCTCATTTCTAGGAGTATGTAAGATTTTACTTATTTGTGAAGCTCTTGACCTCTCTTTTTTGAAAGCTGATTACACTATGAGAAAACCCAGTACTTCAAACTCTTTACCCTTACAAGTAAACTCTTGATGTTAGGCCCAACACTACTCACTGCATGTTTCTGTTCCTTCAGCAGGGTTGCTGTCATGAAACAGGGAATATGGAGCAACTATTTCAGTAAAAATTTCTTGACCCAGGATCATTAGCATTCAACTTATCCAGAGCTGAGCAGCAGTCATGGGAAAAACACTCTGGGCACTTATTAGCTGGTTTTTTAATATTATTTTAAAGCAAGAAAACAGGAAGACAATACATCTGATTATCTTATGCTAAGCTTTTTGTGCCTGCACAGAGGAAGTGCCCACTGGTGTTAAGAGTATGTGCAAAATGAGTCTTATATAACATTAGAACAGCAGAGATCAACAAATATCCACAGACAGGGCTGTGGAACTCCAGCCCACAAAACTCTTCTTTGAAACACAGACTTTTCTGAACATAAGCCAACTACACAGAACCAGAGCCCAGGAGACCACAGCAAATGAGAAGTACAAAGAGGGGGGGAAACTTGCCATGGGGTAGTTTTTCCATTTCACCTGAAGGATGGTGGAAAACTGGAGAAACAACAGGCTTTCTAGCAACACCTCAGAGGAATCTACAACCCACTGAAGGTTCTGCGGGAAGGACTGAGTTTTTCTGAGCTCATGCTGAATTCAGCTGGTAGACAGCAGATACATACATGTACATACCATATCAATGACCAGAAGTGGGGGAGCATCTTCTCTCTTAATGGGTAGAAAACTTCTCTTCACCGTCAGTGGCAAGGTTGCTATCTCGCATTTCATAGCTGACAAGTACCAAAGAGTTAGAATATCTCATCCAAGGACTGATTTCAGTCAGTGTGTAGCACAACAGTAGGCTGCTTGGACACAAACTAAACACAGAGATCCCAATAGCGCTCCTGAGATCAGTATGGTTACTTCCCTGTGTAGCATCAGGCATGTCCTTTGGGGGCTTTGGTTAAAGCTTTGACTTCCATGTCATTGCAACTTCCCTAGTGCTGCAAGTGGGTTCAGCAGACATTCAATTAAAGCAATTCAACCTGCTAGTCCTTTTCCCTGGGTGTAGTGGTTTGGACCTTGTTTTCCCCCAGAGGCTGAAAAGTGGTAACCCCCAGGGGTGGAAACCCCTGGAAGTTTTGAAGTTCTGCCCAATGAGCGCTCCTGCAGAAATGTAAACATATCACAAGCACCGGAAGAGAAGGGTTGTAGTTTAGTTGGTAGAAGAGTAGCCATGTTGTGGTAGAGCCACGAGTGAAAGGGGCCTGGAGCCCCTCGGGGCCTCTGGGGCCCCCCCAGCCCCAGCTGGGGGCTATAGAGACAGAGCAGAAGCGGCGGCAGTGTCCAGAGACTCTGGATAAGAGCCAGGACAGATAAGAACTGAACCGGAGGAAGCAGCAGAAGAGAGCCCCCAGCAGAGCTTTGGAGTTCTGGGGGTAGGAACTGTACCAAACCCCCCCCCCCCCCAAACTCCTTGAGACCTCCTGGAAGGAGGAAGATGATGGACTCTTGCTTGAAAGAGCCTTGGAGTGCTACAGCACTTGCAGAGAGGAGCTGAGAAGCTCAGGCGTCCTGGGAAGCTGGACCGGGACGGAGAAGGAATGCGGGGGGGGGGGTTGACCTTGGCCCCCCTCACTGCTGCTGCATGCATGAGATGAGGAGAACCTGCTGCCTTAGAAGAAGCTGCTGCCTGAGAGACTGGAAAGGATCTGTCCTTCTTTCCCTCCTGGACTTTTATTTGGAGGGGAGAAGAGATCTGATCCATTGTAAATACTATATGTCATGGTAGAGATAGTTGTGATCGTGTGTATAATGTGTTATAGTATAAGTATTTATTTGTACAGTCATTGTAATATATTCCCTTTCCCCCATTCTGAGTCTGGTTGTGTTTTGTCTGGAAAAAAACCATCTCACATTAGGTTGAGATGTGGGAGGGGGGATGGAGCTAGGGAATCGGATTTTGGGGCTATCTCAAACCATGACACTGGGTTTCCCTGATTTGCACAGGATAGGTAAGATGAAAGAGTGAAACCAATAGGAACAAA